GCCACTATGCAACCAGAGCTCCCGCCAAAGACATAGAATTCTTTTAATCACAGAATCAATAAAATGTGTAATGGAAATTTCTTTTTCTCGTCACACTTCAGAGCCCATGCTTGACTCTTGGGCTCCAGTTAGGTTGTTCCAGCCTGAGTCTTCGGCACGTTTCCTGCTTCCATTCAGCCCTAAAGATTTCTTTTTTCTTCCTGCTCACCCCTTCCCAGTCATTTGGAGAAATCCCTCATATGTGTCAACTTGGTCCTACCACCTTCTATCATTCCAAGTTTACTCAGCTCTCAAAATAAGATGCTGATTTTTTTTTTCTAATGAATATCTCAGGCCTTACTAACGGACTGTGGGGGAAAAGTAATTCCAAAATGCTAGGAAAAGTCTTTGATAATGTTTACTACATATGACTTGTTCTGTAGTCTAAGGGAAGGGCAGATGCTGAACTTTTGAATGTCATTTTGAATAATTTGTTGCTGTTCTTCTTGAAAATCTACACAGCAGAACAGAGCCCCCTTCAACAATTTCTCCATGTACAATTCAGGGACACTGAGGACATTCTTCAAGTTGTGCAGTCATTCTCACCCTCCTTTTCCAAATTGTTCCTCCCCCATCAACATAAACTTACTGTCTCCTGAGCACTCGATCTAATCTTTCAAGTTGCTGTTGTCAATTTGATCCCACAGAGACAGTTCTTACAGAGCACAGTGCTTCAGGCAGACTTCAAACTTCTCACAAAGGTCTTAATTACAACCATAACACCTGGAAAGGGGAAAATGGCCACCAAAGACAGTGACATCAGGCAGTGTACATAGCCACACTCACACATACTCTGTAACACATGCACATCCACACATTCTAGCTCAGTGGGAAAAAACCTTTCTGTCTTGTGGCTACTCTGTCATTGAGAATCGTATGGTGATATCTACACAGGTCTTTGGAGGAAAAGAAAACTTATATTTTGGAGAAAGAACCTTCCCGGCTTCCTCCATCACAGAGCCTTGTGGAGGCCTGAGATGTCTGACTTCACATATTCTCAGCATCCCCCTTTTGACTGTTGTCATCTGAATCCACAAGCTCCCGTGGACAATCTCCGGTGAGAGCCAAGGGTCCGCTGCCTTTAGCTTCACCCCAGAGGCATGTTTCTGAGAAGCTGCACATAAAGTCCGTTTCTGATATATTAGGATTCCCCACTGACTTCCAATAAGATTTCTGAGTCACTCTCTCTTCTTCGAGATTGATTTTCAATGCCTGCCTCACACTTTAGTTGTAAATTTCTCTGCCTCCTGCCATCCTCTCTGACAGTTAGTTAATTCTCAGTTGCAAAATGAACAAAAACTAGACAAAGCATTAAGATCTCTTCAAGTTCTAATAGTCCAGGATCTGTAAACAAACCTGTAAATATGTCAGAGGCAGCAATTTGAAAAAGATACCAGGTAAGACCATTTGCAATGCAAATACCCACCCTTTGACGAGCTTTTCAGAAGGCTGTTTCCTAGGGCTTTGTGGGATTTTCCCTGAGCGCATAGCAGACGTCTCTGGTAAATGGCATTTTAGCTTTAGGTGGGTTGGTACTATCCCTTCGGTTTTCCACTCCTTGGTGTTCAAATGCCAGAGTCCCCACTGAAATAGAGACAGATGGGTGCTCTGGTTTTGGGGAATGGTGTGTGCAGTTGGTGACCAGGGGGCGGGAGGGGCGTGTGGAGGACAGAGCAGTTGCTAAGTAAAGATGAAATGAGTTGCTAGGGAGGCACTGTGGCTTTGGTCTCTGGCAACAGAGTTAAGCAGGGGCACGTGCGTCATGGGTCTGTGGCGCTGGTCAGGCGGCGCCTTGGCCATCTTTGAACCGGAACCAGAGACATTATTAGCAGAGATACAGAAAAAAGAAAAAAAAAGCCTGCTTAGTGGAGAGGAAAATTAATAGCCCAAGCCTTCTCCCATCCTGCATTCTCCTTGCTGGCATTTTGATTAAAAAAAATATATATTGCTGCAGCTGTTTGCATATTCTGGAAGTGTGTATGCATGTGTGTGGTTTGGTGTTTACAGATTTGGGGTTACAGAGGGGAGTTTCCAGAGCAACGGAAGTAGCTGCTTGTCAGTCAGGGTTCATTTTGAAAATGAAAGCCTGAAAGCTTGGGGCCCACTTTGGGCCTGGGCCTGGTTTCTGAGGGCTCAGCAAAGAGGCCAGGAGTGGCTCTGGCCAGTCAGCTCAGTGAAGCAACAACTTGAGCACTTCTTTTTTTTTTAATGAATTGACCAAATTTATGACTTGCTTTCCGTGTCGTGCAGATTCAGTCTGAGGCAGGGGTTTTGTGGGAGTGGGCATGGGGAGGCTCTGGCGTCCGACAAGCCCTCCTCACACACACATACACACACCAAAACATGTGCACACAATCCGATGCTCTCAGGCTGCCAAACCAGAACAAGGTAACAATTTTTTCTTGTGTACCTACCAGGTGTACAAGGGTAGTATGATAGTCTTGCCTTTATCATTTAATTGGCATGTCAGGACAAGAGGAGAGAAATACAACACAAGGTAATCTATTCGGGGCCCCAAATGGGTAGTAGAAATAGCGGGTTGGGAGGGAGAGATTACTGTGGGTAATCAGAGCAGGCTTTCTGGGGAAGGTTGAAGCTGAGGCCAACCTTGAAGGACAGGGAGAACTTTACTAGACAGAAGCTGTGAGGGAGGGCTTTCCAGGCAGGGGCAGGCAAGTGCAAGGTATGATCAGGTTTAAGACAAGTGCATCCATTTGGCTAGAATTTTGGGCTTGTGTGAGTGACTTGCAGTTGATAAGCCTGGCTTGAATGGCAGTCCCTCTGTGCCAACACAAAGGCTACACATGGAGCCAGACAGACCTGCTCTGCCACTTCCTGCTGAGTGACCTTGGACAAGTGGCCTAACCTCTCTGCAAACTGGAGATAGTAATGACACTTAGCACTTGAGGTCATTGGGAGGAGGACAGGAATTAATATATATAAAGCATCTGGCACAGGGTCCGGTACATAGTAAATGTTCAGAAATCAATTAGAAATGCATAGGGTGTCAGGAAAGAAACGCTCAGGATATTTTGAGCTGGCCCCAAATATTTGAGGGGCAAGGAGCAGTGGGGTCACTAGGGTTGGTGTCACGCCCCACTGTGGACCTCCTCCCAAAGCAGACTATACAAAATCCTTACAGCTATAAAGTGCTTAGATGTAATATTTCTTAGATTATATGAATACCAACAACAAAAGTGTTTTGTAAAATCTTTCTACATTGAATTACAACATTATCGTTACAACATTATTAGTAAGTGAGTTGAAACTTTTTGTTTCAAATTTTTCTCCTTTTCCTTTAATTACTACTTCATTCTCAAAAAAGTTAGTGAGACAGGTTCACAAATACTAATTACCACAATATTGTAGCTAAAACATCAGAAAGTTTGACACATTTGTCCACTAGAAAAACAAGAGCAATAAGCAATAAGGCTTGTAAAGGGCCATTGTAAGTGGGTGATAATGACAATCTAACCAGAATGCACCAGAAGGTTTCAAAAGTAATGTTAGCCTTGTTGGTATATTGATACATGTAAGCTGAGTTGATGAAAAACGTTTTTGTTGTTATAATGACAGGGATATTTTTATTTTAAAAGTAATAATAAATTTCTGCAGAAAAATTTTAGACAGTCATTTTGATGTTACCACCTCTGACAGTGTCACCCAGTGCAGTCTGCCTCCCCCTACTCACCCCATGCCCCTAGGGATGCCCCCATCAAGGAAGGCAAAGCCATGACTGGTGCCACTGCTGACTCAATGGAGCGGGCCTGAGCCCCCGTCCCCTGTGCTCTGGATTCCTGGA